CGGACCTAAAAAATATAGAAGTTATACGGATCGTTGTTTCCCGAATTACTGTAATCCTCAAAACGTTTTGTAAACATAGATCGTGTCCTTTGATAGAGATTCTTCAACCCTTCAGCAGATCTCTCGCAAAGGGGGGGCTCCGAGGAACATACCCCGGCACGGACGTGGAGAATTCCTGCTCATATGAAATAAAATGATCATTAAAGCGCCTCGCAATAATCCGCCAGAGGTCATCCCGAGTAAAATTTGTGCGAAAGTTGTCTAGCGTGAGCGCGTTGTTAAATTCCAGTAATGCTTTCCTCGAAGGAGTATCATCACGCAGAGTTACACATAGCCTAGCAAATTCAGAAATTGAGAATAATGGCACTACGTTTGCGGGGATGCTTGAAGGATTTTTTTGGAGAGCAAGCTCTCCATTGTCGCCCAAACCTCGATCTCCACACTTCCTTAGGGTCTGTACAATTATTTGGACTGCAGGTGGTTTGTCGAAATCGCATACATTCTGGTCAAATTTTTTTATGAACTCCTTCAAACTGCTGCATTTTGTATTCCCATCACACGTTCTTTCAAATGAAACTCCCTCCCTCTCCCTCTGCAGCACCAAAAGGAAGTTTCGGTACACCAGTTCCATCTTGTTTCCTGATGCACGACGTTTCCATTCCTTTCCAATTTCCCCGTTTGTCCGCTTTGTTTTCCTTGCGAAGAATGTGAAAAGCTTATTCTCCATGGGGACGTCATGGTCGTCGTGCACATTTTCGAAAAGTGCTCTCGGCGGCAGTTGAGCGTCAACGACGCCACCTTCCACAGCGGCTTCTGTTCTCCTGACACTAGTTGCAAATGATTTTGGCGAAGTCCTTGTGCCCACAACAACGGCCGATAGCCCAAAAACGGACGCAGGAGCGCACGGAGCGTTGCATTGCGTTGGCGTTGTTAGCAACGATTTCTCAGCTGCAAGCCGACCGGGGGGAACGCCTTGGCAATCCTTCCATTTTCATGCGATCGCGACAGCTACAAGCACTACCAATACAGAACCGGCAGAGGCGGGAGGTTTGGCACAAATAAGAATGAAAAAAGAGGAAAGAGATGTGTGGAAGTGAGACAAAAGGAAGATTCGCTCCCTGCAGTAGATGCTTCCAAAACCCATTCGCTAATGTTTCCTGCCCAGAGTCGATGGTTGCCACTTGCGGCACTCCTCACGCTACAAGTGGTCCAGAGCAACCACATCTCCCTTCTGATTCTTGCTTGGATGTCAAAAAAGGAGCCAAGCAAATGCCCGCACTTGTGTGTCTCGTGCACTTCTTACAGTGCTGATATAAAGTGTAATGTTAAAGATTAACATCGAACTATCCAATGAATAGGCTGCAGGTCACTCAATGATATTGTGAAGGCGAGTGATCAAGATTTCTCTTGAGTTAGAGCAACTCTACGGCCAATCTATTCTCTAATCTAATTTGGGTTTTCAGGATAGAGTCAAATTTGCATCTCTACCGCGCACAATTTAATCTATCCTGAAATCTAACAAATAGATTACAACTCGTTCAGGGTCTAACCGACCCCCTATTAGAGCCTGAAAGAGTTCTAATCTATCCGATAGAACTCACACGAAACGTGATATCATTGGGCATCACGATACCAACACCCGCCTTTTCCCAATACAGTATGTCCAAAACGTCCATGCCAATGCTGTAGACGGCAAAACAGTCTCTCCGCGATCCATTCTCGGCATCTCTCTCATCACCCTCTCTCCATCAACACTGAAAATGGGTCGCGGGAAGGGATGGGACTCGAATGAGAACGAGGCCCTTGCACGCGCTTGGGTGGTATCATCCGAAGACCCCATAGTTGGAGTCAACTAAACGAACAAGATCTTTATGGACACGCTCATGCGGCGCTTCATCGAAAGAGGGCCGAGGAAGGAAGAGGTTCCCCCGGGGCGCTTTGGAAATCGAACGGCTGCGAGCATCAAACAGCACTTTTCGGACAAGTCCGCTGACGTCCAAAAGTTTCGCGTCTCTCTAATGCGCGTCCGTGCATCGAACCCAACGGGGGTAGGAGAAGAATGCGTTCTGTCTATGGCTGTTGCCATACACCTGGGTCGAACTTATGTCATCGAATATGACTACAAGGACCTTAATAAGGAAACCTGGATGTACTACCGGGCATGGTTGGTACTCCGCAACCATCCCAAATGGGCTCCTGTAGACGCTGACACACATGCCTCATCTGATCCCGTCATGGCAGCCGTCGAGGAACCAGTTATTTCCTCCTCTGATGTGGAGGGCCTGAGACCTGTGGATACTACCCCGCATAAGCGAACACAGAAGTTCGGCTTCGGATCACGTGCCGCAAAAATGGCGAAGCAGGAAAAACTAAGGACACAGGCGGTGTTTTCCCTAGCACAGTCCGCGAAGCGCAAAAACGAGTCACTAGAGGAACGAAATGCAATTGCCGTATTCTCTAGGCCAGAGGCGGAAGGACTTTCAGAGACCACCGAATTCTTCGCCGTCCTACGTAAGACCTACTTGGCACAGGCTGTAAAGCGAGCAAAAGTATCTGAAGAGAACAATGAAGCTTCTTTGTCCGTGCTCGCCAACCGCCTGGAACCTAAAAGACACAATGTAACGACACCTTCTGTGAGCCAGTTTGGTGTTCTCTCCACCAATCCATCTCCCCTGACCTCTGGTAAACCTGAAGAAACGAGCTCAGCCTCCTGAGGACGGCCTAGATGCACGGAAAGACGTGACAAACAGCCGATACAGCGCCAGTCTCGTCGCGGACAAGCCGGGACCCAACTACCCGGCTCTCACCCAAGGCAAGTCCCCGGAGCCCGCCAACGGGACCCAACCCCCCCACTCTCCGCCAGCGGCAAGCCCCCGGATCCCCTCATCGACACGCAGGGGGCTCAGACCCTCAACCCCCTCAGCCCCGCTGTGCGCCGGGGACGTAGTCACTGCGTTGCTGCCGTTGTTTAGTTGCAAGTTGAGGCCTCGTTTACTAAAAATTACCCTGTCTATTCCATATATGTTTGATGAGATCCTTCTTGAGTGAAAAATGGTCGACCACACTGTTGATGCTTTTCTCTCGCGACGGTACCATATTTGCCCACATACGCTCCGGTAAGTCGGAGTGCCACAGATTTTTAATTGCTGCGAGGGAATCCCATTGAAACGCTTGCCCGTTGCTGAACATATTTCGGGCTTCCTCAAAATGTTACAAAGGTGCTATCCCGCTCTCATAGTGATCCCTGCGCCCTTCAACAATCATGTTGTGCAATATGATGCATGCCTTCACATCGTTACTTATGTCTCTACGGTACCATAGCCGACAAGGTCGCTGCAAGATATGGAATCGCGCCATGAGCACGCCAAACGCTCTTTCTATATCCTTTATAACTCTCTCTTGTGCCCTTGCGTACGCCTTTTCCTTCGCCGTTGTTGCCTCCTTCATAGTTTTGGCAAATACTGCCCAACTCGGATAGATCCCATCAGCCAGATAGTACGGCATCGTTCGCCTCTCTTCTTTGACGAAAAAGGGAAAGCGAGGCGGGAAGGAACCAGCCATTATGTTCTGCATGGTTGGAGAATGATCCATGACATTAATGTCATTAAGGCTACCAGGACTACCAAAGAACATGTGCCAAACCCAGATTTCGCCGTCACATATGGCTTCCAGGACGACGGTCGGTTTCTTTTCTTTTCCCTTATACTGCCCAGCCCACGCAAGCGGACAGTTCTTTCACCCCCAGTGCTGGCAGGCAATACTCCGGACACATCCTGGGAATCCTCGTGCTGCATTGATGAAAAGAATTCGCCTTAAGTCTTGCTCGTCAAGTTCTCTTAAATTCTCTTTACCAAACGTAGACACAACTAATTCGCAGAAGGACTTCATAGATGTTAGAATAGAGTCCTCGCCCATTTGAAGGTACTCATCCAAAGAGTCCGCCGCACTCC